CCTCTGCGTCCACTTAATTTATAATTTACACTCGTTTAGACATTCTTCGTCGAAAGGAAATATCAAGGAATTCGCAACAAAAAACCCGATCACTTTTCTTCCCAATTCACACAGATCTTATAAGAAAACCAATCCTATTAACTTTTAAAAACACATAACACTAAATACATAATCTTATATGAATTTTTAACTTTCCGCAAGATTTAATACTGCAATAAATGTTTAATCCAATTGCATCAAATATTTCACTTTTCAATTTTTTATTTCTGTTTGGAACTTGTGAAAATATTTCGGATCTGTCCAGAAACATTAAACGCCAAAAATAACAGTAGCCCACTTTTTGATATATATATACATGATTCTGAGTTACGACAGAGAAACAAATGAAAAAACAAAACGCAAAATCCGAAATAAATGCATTTTTTTTTTTGTGAAATTTTTATTTTTAATATCAAAACAAATAAATTGGGATGACTTGACGAGATTCTCGCGAGAATCAATTCGGATGACTCAAAGAGATGTTATTTTTGATTCAAATAAGTTTTCAAATTTTTATGCTAAATATAATTTTCTCTTAATATATATAAAGTATAGTTTTTTTTTAAGTGTAATTTGTATTTTCATTGATGTTTGTAAACTGTGTGAAAGTTTCGAATAAATTTGCTCGGACTCTGATAAAATTTCTAATAAATATTGCTTGTAACTATACGAGTAAATTTTGTAATAATTTGTAAGTTTGTTTTTGAGTTAAAGTTTCAAATAAATTTGAGACAAAATTTGTAAGTTTTGTGTAATTTTTCGTATTAAACTTATGAATATTTTTTTTATATTATATAAGTAGAAAATTGTTAAAAGTGATTGTGTAAAATTTCGAAACGATGATTTAATTTACTGTTTATTTATAATGCGTACTGGAAAACGGTTGCAGCGTTGATGGAAGAGCGCTCTTGAATCTCGAAGCACTTGTGTATACATACAAAAAAAAAACAATCTCTAAGTCCCGAAATCCGTAAGAACTTTGTCGTTTCTTCAGCGATTCCATCGAGTAAAATTTATTTAGTTTTCATTTTGCAGTTTGCGCTAAATGCTAAATGTGCGTGCTTTACGATCCGCACATTCCGGTGTCGGAATGCGCTCTGCTCTTCCTCCCCTTTACATAAACTTTGAACTTGGAACCGCGCGCGCTACGCCAAGAAAACACAACGAAAAAGATTTCCGGGACAAATAATAAGAATAGTTTTTCTTGAGAGTCGAGAACCACTGACCTGTTGCCAAAACTGCGCCAAAAGGTAGATCCTCTCCTTCTTGAACAGCCAGTCCATGGATTGCATAGCCTGCAAGTCCATATCCGCTGGAGGCGGTATGGAAGCCGTGGCCGTAGGCTGCATGCGGATACGATCCTCTAGTTCCGCCAGTTTACTTCCGGAGAACGTCGCGAAACACAATAAAAAAACAACAAAAACTAATTTTTTTTGCGCTA